TGGTTTATTCTTTTGGGTCATGTTGGTAGATGTGTCATTTTTTTGGTCACAGTTTGATAGAAAGTGGTGCTGCTCCGCCAGTTGTAATAGTTATAAATTGGTTTATACCCCCATTAACTAGTTATACCATGTGATACCCCCCAAAAAAAGGTATATATATATAATTATATATATTCATATAGACCCACCAGTTATTGAACTTATTCGACTCAACAGTTATTGAAATTATCTTCACCAACTTCTCGATTCCGAACTGCGGCAGCTGAGTGAAACAGTGATCTCCATTCTTTTTGGTTTACCCTCTGGTAAACTAACATAGCAATGGAAAGATCCACCATTTTTAATGGGAAAATCCACTATTTCTATGGCCATTTTCAATAGCTATTTTGACATAACCAGAGGGTATATCCCCATCATATCCCCATTTCACCAATTTGTTGGTTAAGACCCTCACAAAACCCCTATTTTTCAGGGTGAAATCCCCATCAGATCATGCACCAAGTGTTGGTCAAAACGCCCGCAGCATCCTCCAGTTCTGGCAGCCCCGTGTTCAGGTCCAAGTCTTGGCCAACAATGGTGGCCGCTTTCGGATCCTGAAAGTCCGCCAGGGTAGCCCAGGGTATCCCAGGGTGAAAAAACAAACTGGCTGATGATAGAAAAGAAAATGACAACCCCGGGATGATTAACTGGGTATTACAATCCCAACTTGTCATTATGGTAGAAGTTGTGCACAAAATTCGCTGGTTGCAAGATGTTTCTAAAACATTTCTGGATGTACATTCTGAACGGGTTCTGAAGTTGGGTTGGGATATCTGTTGGTTTTCGAAGTTTGGAAAACTGACTTAACCTCGTTTTAAGATTTTAGGAGGAGAGTCCCAAGGGAAACATGGTGTTTTTCTTGTTTTGATGGTCAGTTTTTTTGTTTAGTCCCTTCCTGCCCTTGCTTGCTCCTTTAGATTTTAGGGGCTTCAATGATAGGGTTTTTACGCCAGCGAGCAACAGTTCCCAGAATTGAAGAGAACATCCGCAACCTAAATCCTCTGGGTTCCCTTCCTAGAAATAGTGATGTCCTAAAAATGGAGGTAGCCCCAAATCATACAGTCATCATGAGCATTTTGGTATTTTTCAAGAAGCTGCAGGTAACTTGGCCCTCCGATCGATGCCTAGGAGAAGAGCACCGTGATGGCATTGATTTGTACTATGCCCATGTCCAGCTGCTGTCTGAAAGGGATCTTCAGAGGCGGGATTGGCATTTTTATTGGCCTTGGGCTAGCAAGAAACTGAAGGGGACGTTCGGAACATGGCGATGGAAAAAAAAAACATGATAGAAGTGAAACATAGCCACTATACGTTGACTATATATAAGACATTAAGATCCAAGAAGTATCAGAAGTCCTGGTGAACCAAAAAAGTTCACCAAACTCCGGGGGAAGTCCAGGAATTCAGGGCTTCCCAGCTGAAGCTGAACCTCCATTGTCGGGTGTTTTTTTTGGCCGAATGGCCACGTTTGATGACACCAGGGGGATCCAGGGGGTACGGGCTGAATGGGCTAAATCATGGCTATCAGATGCTACCGTGGATGGAAGAAATCCTGCCTCAGTTGGTAGATGGCTTGTCCCATTATGATCCCATTATTTACAGTGTTTCATAGTTACCAATAGTTACCAACTGGTGCAGGATTTCTTCCATCCATAGTATCAAAGGTTTTCAGGGTCAACCTTTGGATATTTGGGAGCTCGAGATCCACATTGATCCACCCGAGCCGGAGCCAACTTGCAGGGGTTGTGGAGCAGAGGTCCAGAGCTCAGCGGAACTTCGGAAAATCTTCGGCGACATAAAATAGGAGAGTTTCTAGTGGTTTCACTATCAAACATGGGTATGGATCAATACCTATTAATACCATTTTTAATGGGATGAACATCCATTTACCAGCTATTTTGATGTTCACCAGGGGTACAAGGTTTTGACACACTGCCACATGGTGAAAGAAACGGAGGTTCAACTGTCTCACCCATCGAACATCAACCATTTTCAAATATGGGATTTAACCCATGAATCAATGGAATCAATGGAATTAGATGGAAGAATTGGGTGTGTCATGAGTTATGGGTACCATAACAAAGACGTCTCAACACCATTCTCTACCTGGCTTTGTATGCTTTGTTCCATCTATGGCCGTTTGGGGGTGTACACCACGATTAGAGACACACCCGTTATATACATATCATATCTGTAAGATCTTGAGACTTGTAGATTCAGATCACTTACTGCATTATGAGTGTTGTGACATGTTGTGAAAAAAAACCCGTGATGTGCTGCAGTTGCTGTGTCACATCAACACGGGATTGATCTCACCCTGGTACCCTTGTTGATTAAAAAGTGGTACTGGGTCGCTCCCCTAGCTCCGCAATCACCGGTGTTATAAAAAAACTATCCGAAACTTTCCGAAACTATCCGCTGTAATATCTGTAATCAATTACCATACAGACCATTGTTGTCCATATCCTATGATCTCCCCATGAACTTGCTGGTTTCAATCTCCCTTTTTTGTTGTTGAACTAACCAACATATTACCTTTTTATATACGTATATATATATAGAATATATATATAATTATATATATAATTATATATATAATTATATATATAATACATCTCTCTATATATATACATACACACTATGTATATCTCCATCATGTTTCCATTATTGTATGGAGAGACACACACTTTATCATACTGTTACTATACATTCAGTAAAGTATATCTCCATTATATTTCCATCATATACAGTATGCATATATATATATATACTGCATATATATATATATATTCATACATACACATTACCCATTCATGATGTTCCCGTTTTTCTTGATGCATCCTCCCATTTAAATCTCGGCTCAGGCGATGCGCTATTGGGCCGAGGAGGTGTCCAAAGGCCATAGGAAAGCCATAGGAAAACCATAGGAAAACCATAGAAACATCAATGGTAGTAGAATGGGAATATCATGGGATATAATGGGAATTAATGGGATCTCTATAATATATATATATATACAGTATATATCTATTATATATACAGTATATATATATATTATATAGTATATATATGTACACAGTAAATATATATATATATATATGTACATATAATATATATATATATCCGGTATATAGGTAAATAACAATTCGGGCTGTATGAAGATGTATATTGTGTATATAGAACACACACACACATATATATATATATTAATATAGAGCATGCATGAACTTACAACTTAATCAAATAATTTACGATTAACCGGGGATTTAACTACCCAATTTGAGATACATATACATGACATTGGACAACCGTCTTTGAGTATAACTGATGGCAAGGTGGTACACACAATTTTTCCCAGTTCAAAAAACAACCCAAAGATGGCATGTATTTCACCAAAGGGACTTGAAGCAAAGTAGGGCTGAACATTGGACAAACAACCAAGCAGACCAAATAAAGAAACCAGTGATCAGTGAGTTATCTCAATACATCCATCAGTTGCTGGTTTGTTTCAAATATGCGGATCGTTTCCATTGACCCCAACTTGGAATGACCATAATTTGTGCCACATTTGACGTTCATGAATTAATATCTGCCTCCATTTTCAGCCACTCAAATAGTGCATCCAAAACCACCGAGTCGTGAAATGATGTGGATGGAAGCGACTCGTAAATCCAGCGACTCGGCGTCCGTCGAATCCGTCACCACTCCGAATCCCAAGAGAAATGAGAATCACTTGGTGCTTTTGTGGTTTACAAGATGTGGATCCTTTTTCCATCCCAGAATGCTTTCAAGACGCCACACACACATATATATATATAAACATGGAATGGTGTTCACTTCACTGACTCCAGTTTCCTCATTTCCATCCCCAAAAACTTTTGGCAAAAGACGTTTCCAAACCCAAACAAACAAAAGCAGTTTGAACCAAACAAGTATGTTTGGGGTCAATATAGACCCCAAATGGGATCTCCATAGGGAAAATGAATGAACATGATCGCTGGCCGCTGCAGGCTCCAGCCCTGCAGGTGACTCCCGTGCTTCACAGGTGGAATGGGAAAGTCGAAGGATGGTGTTGGGGTATTCATTGTTTTTTTCAGTGAAATCAACTGTTGGGAATCCCCTAAAATTCCAAGTCCATGAGGTAGTTCATTTTTTTTTTGTGGGGGAAAACCTTAAGAAGTCCATGGAATTACCATGATACATCATGGTTTTCCCCACCTTGGGGATCCACAGAGTAGGGTATATCATCCCATGGCGATTGGGTAGCGGTCAACATATCAAATGAAGTACCACCTGGTAGCCTAACCTGGAACTGGGAAGTCCGGAAAATATGGACATCATCGGTAAATGGGAGATTTACTGACAATTGACTATTGACCTCAAATTTGGATGGTTCATAATGCAAAGTGATCCAAATCTGCTGTCTAGTCGCTTGGATCTCCATCTTTGATCCATATTCAGAAAAAAAATCCTCCCCGAAATGGGCAACTGCATGAAATCGGAAAATGATTTAGGTACATTCCACTTCCAAGACGTTGAAAAGGTCTCATGTTTCCGAATCTAGATCCTTGACCAGTCGTTTCAAACCCTATTCATTATCCATCCATGCCTGGAATGATTGTAGTAACAAACAGCACGCCGCAAAAAGATACAAAATCAATTCATCGCTGTTTTAGTGGAAGTTTGCCTTTCTACTTTTTTGGGAGTTGCTACAATCCAACGTGACTCTCATGTTTTTGAGGTGAGGGTGGCACAACCACCAGCTTGCAATCTTCATCCCATGCAAGAAGGAGCACCCAGCTACAAGTTGGTTCATATCCTCATCATCTAACCATAGATCTCTTCCACAATTCCAATCCTTTGCCTGGTTTAGTAATCCAACTTAGCCATCATAGATGACTTCTAGGATTCCAACTTTTGCTTCATGTGAAATTCGTCGGATCCAGCAGTGATTTTTCCAGGTGAAGTCTGGGACCCATTTGCTGGCCATGGTGCCAGCGCCCGTCTTCGAATCGCCGGAGAGTTGGAGGATCATTGGCCAGGTCCCCACGGGCGTTCGCGTCATCGCCATGGACCTGCCACGGGTGGTGGAGGGTTGCTTGGTGCAGCAACTGGCAGCATCCCAGAGTAATCAAACACGCACATATCTATGTCCCTATGCATCTACCTATCTAAATATCTATCTACCTATCTACCTATCTACCTATCTACCTTTGTATCTATCTATCTATCTATCTACCTATCTAACCAATTTAATCGATCTATCTATCTATCTATCGATCTATCTTTCGATCGATCGATCTATCAATCAATCTATCTATCTATCTATCGATCTATCTATCGATCTATCTATCTATCTATCGATCTATCTATCGATCTATCTATCTATCAATCAATCAATCTATCTATCTATCGATCTATCTATCGATCTATCTATCTATCGATCGATCTATCTATCAATCTATCTGTCTATCTATCTATCTACCTATCTATCTATCAATCAATCTATCTATCTATCTCTCTATCTACTCTATCTAATCTATCTAATCTATCTATCTATCTATCGATCGATCGATCGATCGATCTATCTATCGATCTATCGATCTATCGATCTATCGATCTATCGATCTATCGATCTATCGATCTATCGATCTATCGATCTATCGGTCTATCGGTCTATCTATCTAATCTACTATCTATCTATCTATCCTATCTATCTATCTATCTATCTATCTATCTATCTATCTATCTCATCTATCTATCTATACATCTATAACATCTATACATCTAATCTAACCCAATCCATCCAATCTAATCTAATCTAATCTATCTAATCCAATATCACTCAAATCTAATCTATCTATCTGGTCTATCTAATCTATCTAATCTATCTATATAATCTATCTATATAATCTATCTAATCCATCTGATCTATCTAATCTATCTAATCTATCCAATCTATCCAATCTATCCAATCTATCCAATCTATCCAATCTATCCAATCTATCCAATCTATCCTATCTATCCAATCTATCCTATCTATCCAATCTATCCAATCTATCCAGTCTATCCAATCTATCCAATCTATCCAATCTATCCTATCTATCCTATCTACCCTATCTACCCTATCTTTCCTATCTATCCTATCTATCCTATCTATCCAATCTCTCCAATCTATCCAATCTATCCAACCTATCCAATCTATCCAATCTATCCAATCTATCCAATCTATCCAATCTATCCACTCTATCCAATCTATCCAATCTATCCTATCTATCCTATCTACCCTATCTATCCTATCGATCCTACCGATCCTATCGATCCTATCTATCCTATCTATCCTATCTATCCTATCTATCCTATCTATCCTATCTATCCTATCTATCCTATCTATCTATGTATCTATCTAGCTATCTACTTATCTATCTACCTATCTATCTATCTACTTATCTATCTATCTATCTATCTATGTATGTATCTATCTATGTATCTATCTATGTATCTATCTATGTAATTATCTATGTATTTATCTATGTATTTACCTATGTATCTATCTATGTACCTATCTATGTATCTATCTACGTATTTATGTATGTATTTATGCATCTATCTATGCATCTATCTATGTACCTATCTATGTATCTATCTATGTATCTATCTATGTATCTACCTATGTATCTATCCATGTATCTATCTATGTATCTACCTATGTATATATCTATGTATCTATCTATGTATCTATCTATGTATGTATCTATGTATCTATCTATCAATCTATCAATCAACCTATCTATCTATCTATCAATCTATCTATCTATCTATCTATTGACTGATCGATCTATCCAATAGATCTAACCTACCTAATCTGTCTATCTAAGCTCTCTACCTAGCTATTTATCTACCTATCTACCTATCTATCGACCTATCTATCTACCTATCTATCTCTCTATCTCTCTATCTATCTCTCTCCCTCTATCTATCTATCGATCGATCTATCTATCTTAATCTTAATTTTGATGTTAATCCTAATTCTCAATCTTAATCTTAAACCTAATCTCAGTCTTAATCTTTATCTTACTCCTATCTAATCTAATTTATCTATCTAATCTATCCATCTAATCTATCTATCTGTCTACCTGTCTGTTTTTCTATCTGTTTATTCGTCTATCTGTCCCTCTGTCTCTCTGTCTGTCTATCTGTTTATCTATCTCTCTACCTATCTATCTTTCTATCTACCTATCTATCTATCTATCTACCTATCTATCTATCTTTCTTAATCTTAATCTTAATTTTGTTTTGAATCCTAATGTTTAATCTTAATCTTAAACTTGATCTCAATCTTGATTTTCATATTTTTCTTTTCTTTTCTAATCTAATCTAATCTAATCCAACCTGTCTATTCGCACAGAAGATTCACGTATTGGTAAACTATGGTAAACTAATAGGTTCACGACTTTTTGACCGCCACTTGGTTTTCAACGTTTCAATCTGCAAAAAAGGTCATTCTCGCTAGCACGAAACCGTCATTTTGTCATGAAGACCTGAACATCAATTGTCGCTCACGGCTACCCTTTGTAAAGACTTCAGACAGTATGGCCAAAAAATTCTCAGCATCTGTCCGACGTGAATTGTTTTGCCAACGACATGGTGCATGGCGCTAGTCTTTTTCTGGCCAATTTTCTTGGCCAAAATTTCCCTGCATTTTTCCCGTGACAGCCAACAAGGGTCAATCAGATGGATCATCGCTGTCTGGGAACCTTTCTGATTGCGTCTTTTGGTATCCTTGCATCCGTGCGTTCAATTTCTTTGTTTCGATGGTTAACACTGACATGTCGCAGATTTACACGAAAGGATTCCGAACGCCATGCAGTGTTGCCAATGACAGTTCTGATCTCATAGCCTAGCATCAATCTCATCTCGCAGCATCCAATGCAGGTGCAAGGGTGCAAGGGACAGTAGTAACAGTCATAATCTCATGGCTTAGCATGTGCGTGTGCATTATAACATCAAGGTTTTTGCCCCAGCCCATCTGGCCTCAGGCTACCTAATGGTTCCCATCGTGCCGAGCGGTGCCGTGGAACTCACACTCTTCCGGGAGCCGGAGAGGCCCATGCCGGAGGTCAGCCAGAAAAGGTGAATTTTATGGTGGTTGAATCATCGGAATTGCATGGTATTTCCATGGTATTTCACCAACCATGGAGATGGATGTGACTGAAAATGGGGTCTAGTCGGCATTGCCCCAATTCATGCAATTTTCATGGGAACATGATTATTACTTAATCAATATTAATCACAGAAGTTTGAGGTACCCAATTCTCACAAGAATTAAAATAAAATACCCAAGGCTTCGAATATGGACAGATTTCATGCATGGTGCTTCAAAGACCCGAAGGATCATGTTTATGGGCTGACTTCAAACATTGGGAAGCACCATAGTTTGCATAGAATCTTGGTTAGCACGTGGTTCAGAGAAAGAATTGCTGATATCCCTTTGTCTCCCATCGTTTTTTCACAAGGAATCCCATGTGTCAGTCTGTGTCAGCCAGAGTCAGAGGCCGCGAAGACGGCATTTTCCCATCGCTTTCCAATGATTTTCCCATTATTTCCATCTGACCCTGAACTCCCTTGACCCGAAGGTCCAGCTTCCCGATGCGGATGCATTGAAGGCGGGAGATCATGAGGTGTTCGTTTTTTTAAACCTGGCAAAAAACCAAGAATTAAACATGGGGATATCAACCAAACATATGCAAACAGTTTGGGATCTAACATGATCCAACATGGTAATATTCTTGCAAGAAAACTATAATGTGTGGAAAAATGCAATGCATCCTTTAATGAAGCTCAGCCTGCCTCTCATTTTTTTATGTGACATTTTTTTTAAAGGAAAAACATATTTCTTCAAAATAATGTTGCCTGTTTTGTTCAGATGTTTCATTCATATGGAAGGCATATTGCACACATACAACCATAACCTGTGTCTTTCAAAAAAAAAACAATCTACCTAGACCATAATACATTTCAGTCATTGATATGTTAAAAAACCTAGATACACCTACATTCAGTTTCGGTTATTGATATGTGAATGCTATGTGTCATATAAAAAAATCCCATTGACCCAGGCGGCCATCGATGGTCTACAGAGGTGCCATCCAGGATGGGCGCGCAGTTGGAGCTGCCATTTATTCGACATAGGGAACCGTTCAAACATGGATGGACATATGATGTATCTGGAGGATTTCGTGGGAAAATCCACTATAAATGGAGATTTTTATGGGAAAAACATACATAATATATATATATATATTATATATATATATATTAGTAACGTCTCGGATGAATAGATGAACGATGTGGATAAATTTTATTGACCTTGGAGGTTTGGCCTCAGGATAGTGTGATGAGTGGAGGGCCCTGGCCTGAGACAGGGCCCCATCTGCTGGCCGCCTGGAATAGGGTGTTGATTTACTGGAGGGCAAGTATCCCTAAGACATCTGTAGAAATCTGATGTTTGTTGGATATTGGAGGATATTGGAAGGCTTTCACTTTAACATGAGACTCAATCTTTCCTGTCGATATCTGATATCTGATATCTGATATTGGAAATATTGGAGATATTGGATATCTGTTTATTGATCGATATCTGATCAGCGTTTTTCCACTGTCGAAATCTCAATCTTTGGGCACGGCTGGGTCATGATCGGAGTTACGAGGCACTTTTTTTGAGTCCCGCTGTAGGTCGGGTTTAAGATCCATTGCAGGGTGTGAATCTTACCCAAAAGTAAAATAACTGGTGAGTTTTTGTTTTCAATGGTAAGATTCAAACAATCCGTGATTATCAAACATTTATTAGTCAGCAATAAAGGGCTGATTTAGTCTTAATTGAGGATATACATGGCTAATCAATGCTGATACAGCAACTGATGGTAAAACGGTTGTAGAAGCAATTGACGTTGAGAATGTAACTACCATTCGTTTCATGTCCTTTTCCACAAAGAAACGTGGATCTTGCATTAGTCTCACAATGACCCGAATCCAGTACTTCAGATGGACATAGATGGACCAAACTGGAAAAATGAGAGGATAGACCAGTGGACCAGTTTCCTACTAGTATCAGGATTTTGCATCACCGTCCACTTGCTTCTCAGAGCTGTTTCCATGAACTTGGTCCCTGAAAATCAGCTGCACCGCAAAACATCCAGCATTCCTAATCTGTGTTGGGAGCAAACAACCAATCTTCAATTAGCTTGAAACTCTCACTGCTCAGACCGCGCTGGTTAAACCAATTTTAGCCAGATGTTATATGCCTGACTGGAATGACGCTTATGTAATGTTTTGATATGATTTGATTATATGACCATGGTGTGCCATATTATTCATGAACGTCTCAGTTGTTTGTGTGTAGATATGAGGATCAGTACCGATGGGACATATTATTGATGGAACAGACATCGCGTAATATATATATATACACCATATAACTATATCACATATATATATATATCACATATATATATATATATCATATATATATATATATCATATATATATATATATATGTAAATCATATAATATCATATGATATCATCCACTGAATCATCCACCCAAATGTTAAAGCGAATCTCACCTGGTGGAATGATCCACCAGAAGCGGTTCGCCAGGTGCTGGAGTTTCATGGATTCTCGGTGTTTATGATATCCGAATACATCCCAATGTTTGCTGGTTCAACACCCGTTAAAAGCATGGTGCTCAAATCTCATGGTTTCGGTAGAAAAAACTCCCCAGTTTGGTGGTTGGAGTGCCAAAAAAATTTGGTCAAACCCCAAAACATACGCATGAAGACGCAATTTAACCGCCAAACATGTGGTTTGCCATTTTGACCACAACTGGTTGATGTCGTTTTCAACCCCCCAATTTTTGTTTGTTCTCCAGGCCCGCTGGGGCCTGGCGTCGGCTCTGCAGACGTGCGCGGAGCAAGGCATGGAGCAAGGGGTATTTGTTGGATTATGCGAATGGCATGGGGATATAATGGGATATAGTGGGGATTAAACAGATTGATTTCATTATATATATATATATATATACATAATCTATATTTTTTGTGAAGGGGAAAACAACCAATCAATGGATCAATGAACATCCTTTTCCCAAATTCAGAAATCCATACTTTCAGGGCCACAATTTGGATGGCCAATCAATGGGTCGGGATTTCACCAAAAAATTGGATAAAAAAGCAGCAAGAACGAGGAGTGGGCGAGTATAGACTGTTTAACACCAAAAAAAACCGGATAGTGGATACAGTGGATGCTAAGAATATTCGTTGTTTCGTTGGTCACTGTGAATGTGTCAGCAAACGGTTTCGACCAAGACTTGAAGATTTCACCTTAAAAAAACAGTAGGAATCCAGCGCCAGACACAGCATTATTTTTTATCAATTGATTGGTGGCTTCAAAGTAAAAATCACCTTTAACATTGGAAAAAATTGTAAACTGGGATGAATGGGGCCCCAACTGTATATTGACTTCCAATATTTTTCAATATATTTGGGATGAAACCTTCGACAGGAAAACATGGTTGTTTTGGCTAGGAAGCTCCTCTTTCAACTCCGACTTTCTGGAGTTTCACATGGCCAGTTTTGGACATTTTGCAGCTGATTCTGGGAGATTAAGCCATGATAATATCGGGACCAATGATATGGGGATGGAACAAGATTGATTGAGATGGGCATGTCAATAATGACAGGTCGTTCAGGTCGTTCCTCTTTCCATACTACCGCTTTTCAGGGTTGTATCACAACCTGTTTTGTCAAAGCGCGCGAATAACTCTGGCATAGCGTCCCCTTGAGCGCAATGGATGATGACACTTTATGGTTGTAATAGCTTCCAGGTAGGATAATTAGATACAACATTATCTATATAACTACAATTAACTAGCTAATTGTATAGTCATACTTAGTTGATGTTTAATTCTCGGTAGATACAAAAACCTTGGCGGAGACGGCCAGGTGGAGATGACACTCACCGGCGGCTCCAGCGCGGGGAAAAAAGGGCGCTGTACTAACGGCAGATGGGGGCGCGGATGTGGTTTTTATCTGAATCCATTTGATTCTCTATTTCTGTTGGTTCGATGGGTTAAAGTCCCTGTTTTTGAAAGGTAAACCACCAGCTAAATGTGGAAACAAGTGGAACCACTCCGGACTCCCAACTACTTCATCACTTTTTGGGGTCGGATATGGAAGGGAACGTGTTCTTCCTATTACCTTTTAAGGTCACCCCAAATTACTGCACACAATCAACCAGAGTCTGGAAGAAAACGGAAAAGCAAAGCACATGAATTTCATTAATTTGAAAGAACCATGATGCATGTTTCCCATGGTTTCCCATTTCTGTGTGGCCCGACCAGCAAAAATGAAACCAAATCTGAGATGGCCATTGGGCCATGCTGATACCGAAAACTGACCAAATCTGAATGGCGATGGATCAACAGCTATTAATTATACCATATTTCTGGGGGACGAGGGGACGAGCATTCATCAATCCCAGCTATTTTGGGGTGAGAAGCACATCCCTCTACAGCTGAAATTCATGACACATTCCAGGAGGGGTTACACCAATAAGATGCGAGGCACATCTTTGGCCAAACTCACCATTTTATGTTGAGAAAACATGAAAAAACATGGTGGACCCACGGTGCCAAAACATCAGTTTTTGATAATTGTTGTAGCTCAACTTTTGCTGGAAAACCAGACCCGATTTCCGCCGTGTAGGTGTTCAACAGCGCGAAGAAACAGAGAGGAATCAGAGCGCGCTGATCACCAGAGTCGAGTGACCCTGGCACAGTTGGCTGCAGAACTGACCATCGAAAAGCCAAGCTATTCATAAAATACAGCTGAAATATGGATACTATCGTATGTAAATGATTATCATATATATATATATCACCACCAAAACAATGGATATAAACAGATATGTATATATATATATACATTTAATTAAAGCAAGAGAATTTGCTAAAATTTGGATGGATCGAAGTCCATGGTATTCCAGTATTTGGGGGGAATGAATTTCGGTTTATGTAGAGTACCAGCTGGGTGTGAGCAGCTTATGGTACCAGACTTCTGACCCAGCGGATCTGAGGAAAGGTGGGCGAAGGGCAGTCTGATAGGTTAATATTTTAGCCATAAAATAGATAGGGGATGGATCTGTCTGAAAATGGTATATATCATCCAACAAGGCAATTCAAAAAGGGAAACTGATGAACAACAAAATTTGGGAGTTTTTTTTTTTTTTTTCGGGATATACTTTTTTTCAGACAAGGGGAAGATCAAACAGCACAGGCTAAAACCCATTTTGTGCAGGCTATAACTTTTTGATGTGTCATGATTCAAGTCTCAAGCTCTGAGTTACCCATTCTATGGTCCGGGTCGCCATGGTTTCATCCCCTACATCCACCATGGTTTCTGGGTGTTTTTTGGACGGACCACGTCTCGGCACCCCTCGGCGGTCCAGATGGCTCAATCCCCAGGCAACTTTCCAACTACAAAATCCAAGCAGATCAGCAAGTTCGAGAGGTGCATTTGGGATCAACTGGGCCGTGTTTTGGGTCAAGGTGGGATCTGCTTGCTGTCCAAGTTGCTGTGACCACTTGCTGTGACCACTTGCTGTGACCACTTGCTGTGACCACTTGCTGTGTTTTTCTTCACGGAACATTGTGACATCATGTCAATGTTCATGAACATGCATGGACTAATACGGGATATGGTAAACACCATAGTTTTATCATGATCATGGGGGTTTACGACATCAATTCGCCCAGTTCGCATAGAAAATATGTTGGGTACATTTTGTCTCCCCATTTCTCCACATCTCTATAGGATTTGTACACCATTGTACATGGGATTATTTATCTGGGTAAATTATAACGACCTCACTGCGACCTCACTGGAATCATGGTTAGTAAGGGAAAATATCCCCAAATAGCCTTAATTCAGGTTAGTGAAATATTATAATTTACCCAGATTTATAAAGCCATTATTTAATAGACAACATTATATAATTATATATCCACCAATCCAAACATGGGATTGATTTTCACAGATCGATGCCATGATCTATGATCATCCAAATGACAATAGATATTGATATGATAGTAACATGGATCTATAGACCCATTGAAAACAGACACCATACTTTTGTTCATCAAGCCATGATTTAAAATGCATCATCGACACTATCTTCATCCCAACATGCGATTTTTTATCAGTGGGATTGTTCAGGACACTCAAATGGAGCTACTGTACCATATAAAATCATATAAAACCAGAGGCGGTATAGTCTAGTCTTTGCAAATATATCCCCTGACATTTAGAATTTCGCCCTTACAATATTTGCAATAAATCTACATAGACCTGATATATGGTAGCCCTTATGGTAACCCCATAGCCAAATGGTAGGTACCTGCCATTTTCAAATGGGGTTCTCAGGCGCAGGCGGAGACGCAGTGGTTCCGAACCGAGAGGGAATGGGGAACATATGGGGAATCCATGGTTCCAAGGTTCCAATGGTCATCTTGAAATGATGTAAACCTGTGAAATAGGTAAATCTAGTAAGTAAATCACCTGGAAATAGTAGGTAAATCAAGCAAACTAGTAAGTTTGCAAATTGATAATGGGTAAATGCTGCTAATGGTAAGTAAATCATTAAGCACAATAGTAAGATAATAGGTAAATCATCTGGAAATAGTAAGTTGCGATGGCACACTCTTAACTACCAGAGGTTACAGGTTTTTTAAACAGATTCGTTTCTGTTGAATCCTGATTCCAAAGGGGTGATATAATGTGACATATATATATATATATTATATGCATATATATATATACACACACTCTCTCTCTCTCTATATATATATATATACATATTATATATATATACATATATGTATGTATGTATGTATGTACATATTTGAATATGTTTGAGATGTTTGTGTTGTTTCTCTGAAATGATCCTATCTTCCCAGAATTTTTCAGAGAGTCTCTGGATCCGCCAGAGTGATAGAAGGACCTCATGTCGCGCGTCACTGGACTGGTGGTTTAGTGTGGGTAGCTATCCCAAAAAATCATGGAACAATTCAGCTTGGCGAATGATTGCGATTTATCATGATTTATCCAGAGGGTTGGTAGATACCAATGTCTCCCATGTTTCCCACAAGGCTTCCCCAGTTCCAGTGACGCCAGATGACAACCAGGGGACCAGTGTGGGACTATCGCCGAGATTTGACCCTATAATCTTGCCATCATCCATATTAATATAGTTAATACATATTGAATCATATTGATTATTAATATAATCTTGCAGAAAATTTGGCGAATTTGACCCTTTCCATTCCTTTCCCATGGATCCAACAGCTCCACTGGGCTGTCGACCTGCGGTCGAAAGCAGAAAAAACAAACGAGCCGTGGGTTGACCAGGCAATAAGCATCCGTAAAATCATCAATAAGATCTATTAGTAATTAGTACATGATATTCATATATGGTATAAATAAATAAATATATATATATACACATATATATATATACACATATAAATATATATATATATAATATACATATATATATATATACATATATATACACATACACACACACACATATATATATATACATATTCAGGTGAGATTATATATACACAACATCCACAGAATAATCCATGAAATCATCCCTAACCGTGTCATCATCTTGACATAAAATTGGATATACTCCTTTTTCGAAGCACAGCAACACAGTAAAGTCCCACCAAACGAGACTCCTTCGACACGTCCGACACGACACGTCGCGACGCAATGTCAAGCGGAGCGCAATGTGGTCGCCGTAGAAAGGAACGCAATGTGGACGAGTTGGTGAGTATCGAGGTGAGAAGTTGCCAAAATCAGTTTGATGATGTTTTTCTCGGGGTTACACATGGTGATTTAACCAAGAAAATGGATTCAAATGGGGATTTAACAAACCAAACTGGGCGGTTGAACAGACACATGATGAAATGTGGTGTTTTGAGGTGTTTTCAACATTGCTCAGGTTGTAAACTTGCAGGGAAAAAGATGGAAATTGGAAGATGCCACTGGGTGAAATCTCGTTTTTTTTTATTTTTGCGAGCAAGAGATTTTGGAATGAATTTTTGCAACCCAAACGTATTGGAGACCATTGAGGCCGGTTTCCCACAATTTGTTGCGATTGTTTTTGATTTCTTTTGGCCGTTTGAATCACATGAAGGGCCTTGCCCAAAAGGTTTGAGGTATCTGTTTGATGTTGTTTGTACCCTCCTTGTTAATGCTGGCAAATACTGAAGCGTTTTTGGGAGTGTGATTGAAACAGAATAACTGATGATGTCCAAGCTGTAATTTGAGTTCATCCATGAGGTACCTACTTCCATGCTGGGCTGTGAATTGTACCAGATGATTAGTGAACGGCTTCCTATGAGGCCAGGTGCTCGCCTCTCTGTTCAGAATGGATCTTCCCCGCTGAGCTTGCGCCTGACACTGAAGCAGCAGGGAATGCCAGCAGGATCTGCTACATTGTCATGTGTTTACCTTCCTGTCAACCTCCTTGCGGCTTGGAAATACCTTGAAGGAGAGAAGGTGGACGATGAGGAATTTGTGCTACATGGGCTTACGCACATAGCAGGAGTCGAGTCACGGGACTGTGACGAGATTCTTGAGTTGCCAAACAGCCTGCAGCACTTGACCTTGTCGAACAGTTTTGATGACAGCCTGACCCGAGTAAACTTTCCCCGTGGACTGTTGCAGCTGAACTTTGGCGAGTGCTTCAACCAGAGCTTGAACGGCGTGGTTTTGCCAAAGGGCTTGCAAGTTTTGTCTTTTGGTGATAGCTTTAACACGCGCTTAGATGGCGTGACTTTGCCCCGAAGCTTGCAGACTCTCACTTTTGGCCACAGCTTCAACCAAAGCTTAGTTGATGTGGATTTGCCAAAGGGTTTGCAAGTTTTGTCTTTTGGTCGTAGCTTCAACAAACGCTTAGATGGCGTGACTTTGCCCCGAAGCTTGCAGACTCTCACTTTTGGCCACAGCTTCAACCAAAGCTTAGTTGATGTGGATTTGCCAAAGGGTTTGCACGTTTTGTCTTTTGGTGATAGCTTTAACAAACGCTTAGACGGCGTCACTTTGCCGCGAAGTTTACAGACTCTTACTTTTGGCTATCATTTTAACCAAAGCTTAGATGGCGTGACTTTGCCAAGAGGATTGCAAGAATTGTCTCTTGGAAGTAGCTACAACAAGTCCTTGCAGGGCGTGACTTTGCCCCGAAATTTGCACAGCTTGACTGTGGGAAATAATTTTAAGAAAAGCTTGGATGGCGTGACTTTGCCGAGAGGTTTGAAGAGCTTGACCCTGGGAAGATTGTGTGATACGGGCCTACAATTCAAACAGAGCTTAGTCAGCCAAACTTTACCGGCATCATTGCAAGACTTGGCTTTGGGGTCTGGCTTCAACCAGAGCTTAGATCGGGTCAAATTGCCAGCAACTTTGCAAAATTTGACTTTGGGCGAGAGTTTCAACCGAAGCTTGAATGGCACCATTCTGCCAGCATCTTTGCAGTGTTTGACTTTTAGCAACGACTTCAACCAGAGCTTGGATCGTTTAACTTTACCAGCATCTTTGCGATCATTGGCATTTGGCTGCAACTTCAACAAAAGCTTGGCTGGCACAACTTTGCCGGCATCAGTACAAAATTTGACATTTGGCCACTGCTTTAACCAAAGGTTGGATAGCGCAACTTTGCCTGCATCTTTACAAAATTTGACATTTGGCCACTGCTTCAACCAGAGCTTGGATCGCGTAACATTGCCAGCAGCTTTGAAACATTTGACTTTTGGGGACATTTTTAACCAAAGCTTGGATGGCACGACTCTGCCAGCATCTTTGCAAACATTGACATTTGGCTACGACTTCAACCAAAGCTTGGATGGCACGACTCTGCCAGCATCTTTGCAAAGATTGACATTTGGCTACGACTTCAACCAAAGCTTGGATGGCACGACTCTGCCAGCATCTTTGCAAACATTGACATTTGGCGCCGACTTCAACAAAAGCTTGGATGACACAATGTTACCGGCATCTTTGCAAAACTTGACTTTTGGGGACGGTTTCAACCGAAGCTTGATCTGGGCAACATTGCCAGCATCTTTGCAAACATTGACATTTGGCTACGACTTCAACCAAAGCTTGGATGGCACAACTTTGCCAGCATCTTTGCAAAGATTGACCTTTGACCACAATTTCGACCAAAGCTTGTATGGGGTAAATCTAGGTTTGGAGGAATTTTGTTGTAGAGGGTTGTTGGTTCGCTCATCAAGGTGACGCGGTGGCGCTCATGGTTCTGATTTCGGAGTGGAAAAGACTCGTGCGGGAGATGGCCCGCCAGTGGGATAATCATGGGATAGTAATGGATTTACCCTCTGGTACTGTAATTTCTCATAGAGACATAGCAACATGGAATGCTATGGAAAAAAACGAGCCCATTTATAGATGCTTTACAAATTGAAATTTGATGAACAATGGGGGATTTTCTTATATTAGACTACCGCGATGAATACCCAAAGATTGCTGTTTTATATCTACTTGCATGCGGCAAGCCCGCCTGCCATAGACAGGTGGCCCCAAGGGAGTGTGCTGTGCACCCTAGGTGGAAGCCGGAGAGAGAAGCAGAAGAGAAGAGGAGAAGAAGACAGAGCCGTAAAACGGAAGCAGCTTGTAGGAAGTGCTTGCCGTAACAACCTATCGACCGTCATACCAAATTAGCACCGCTCCCAGTAAAGTGGCGCCAGGTACTATGTATGAGCCTTCGGCTTGACAGCAGACCGCTGCATGTAAGGGGACAGTGGAAGCGGAGAGAGGTTGCCCCAAGGGAGGTTGATGTGCACGCTAGGTGGAAGCCGGAGAGAGAAGCAGAAGAGAAGAGAAGAGAAGAGAAGTGAAGAGAAGTGAAGAGAAGTGAAGAGAAGTGAAGAGACGAGAAGTCATGAGAAGTCATGAGAAGTCATGAGAAGAGAAGTCACGAGAAGAGAAGAAGAAGAAAAAGAAGAAGAAAAAGAAGAAGAAGAAGAAGAGGAAGAAGAAGAAGAAGAGCAGGAGACGAAGACAGAGCCGTAGAGCAGAAGTAGCAAGTGCTGACTTTAACAACCTATTGACCGCATAGCATATGAGTACCGGTTGACCACGTTAGTAACGCATGCGTCCTGTGACTAATCCCTTCACCCTAATCTTAAACGTCCCCCCCTTCCCCCCCAACAATACCATCGGGGGAGTTATCAATATATTGGGCATTTAATTTTTGGGGGAGAAGCTGGCCCCTAATATATATTAAATTTAAATATAGTTGTAGTCAAGTTATAGTGAGGGGGGGGAAGGGGGGGTGGACACGATTCAGACGAAGCAAAAACGGGTAGCAAGAGAACATAGGAAGAAGTACAAGCCAAGAACAGAAACAGGAACAACACCTTCCAATCAGACACCGTGGCAGGCCAGCGGATTCATTCTCCAGTCTTGTTGATTCTCACCTCGTGATTTTAGCTTATTTGTTTAAAGATGCTTTATCCCGAGTCTTGCTTGTTGAACAATAGAGGTTAATCATGGTTTGTTTAGAAATAGGGTAATGCGGTAAACCGGTAAACCCAATAATAAACCATCCCCAATATTATGAGCAATGGTTAAATAAACCGTCCAAAATTGGGGGTTAAAGAGTAAGGGGCTTGCCACATTTCCTCAATTTCCAGTGGTTAACTTCCTAATTACGATTGATAGTTTCGGGTCTACCCCATATTTAGGCGCAAGTGATTGGTGATAAATCACGAATCTCCCCAATAAAAAACTTATATTTCCCATAGGAACCCTTACAAGATATTCCCATCCACTTCCACTATTTAGTGGTCAAATTGCGATGTTCCATCCATTTTCACCGCTTTTTGCCGGGTTTTATCTCACGTTACCTCGTACAAATCTCCGAATTTCTGCACAAAGTCATCCTTCGTAGCTTTCCACCTTCAAACTTCGTTCTGAGGCTTCGGCAAGAACTGGCGCGGCGAAAGCGGCAGGCGCTGCGTTTTGGATTGGTCGCAAAAAAAAAGGAAAAACATCCACCAAACATGAGCAAGAATGGAAACATGGTTGATGGTTGCATAAAAGTGTCATTGTATGTCATTGTTTTCCAATTTTTTGTCGCCAGAGATGGAACGATGATATGATGATCCTATTTGGCGTCAGATTGGGAGCGGATTGACGTTGTTTTTTTTCATGTGCGACGAATTTCTCAGAACAGACCAATAATCAACGGGGGATGTAGATTCAATAGTTTTTTTTGTTGGGGTTTTCTTAAAACTTGGAACTTTAGTTGATCCAATGGTCAACGAAGTCGATGTTCCCTTTGGTAAATGTTCATAGCAAACTGGATAATCACAATTTTAATGAGGGGCAAATCAACAAACAGTTAAATTACCAGAGGGCCAGAGGGTAAACAAATTCAATTCGGACAGAACTTATTTTCAGGACCCCAAATTCGTACAAATTCAACAATCATGACCTCTATCATGTCAGTTTGTCCAATATTTCATGGGGTACCCATTCAAATTTCAAGTGATTATGATAGATGATCATAATATTCCCCTTGTAGTACCTCTCCATTGTAGTATTAACTAGTTATCATCATGCGAGGGCTGGCAGATGATAATGGCTATGTTATAGATATGTTTCATGGCAATGGGGATAATGACCCACCAATGATTTCCAATTATACAATACCAATTGTGCTTCATACTAATGATATCTTGTCCATTATGTTCCATTATTGTTCCCATTCCATCATTGCTTTCCATTTCATTATTACCAGAATCCAGAATATTACAATTATCCCAGAGTATAAAACCCATTAAATCCCCATTGAGTCCATCCTAGCTCTGTTTGGAAACAAATGTTATACCTCAAAATGCGCTGGTTGATCATCATATTCTCATTAAATAACGATATATTGGAGTATACCGTATACCGTACGCCCCATATTCAGATACACCCCAAATCACACTGTTGATTAATCATATCCCGTTTCTCTATCACAATTATAGTCCATTAAAAAAACCAAATGAAATAGTGAAATTGTCATAAATTGAACCATAGTTGGTGATTTGTGATATATTCCATTATGCACCATATTATACCCCGTTATACCATATCATATCCCCATCATTCTTGTCATAAAACTCTCTCTCTCTCTATATATACATATATATATATATTATACATATATAGATGCATTCATATATATATATATATACATACATACATACATACATACATACATACATATATATATATATATATATATGCACATCCATTATATCCCATCATTGTTCATAAAAATCTGATCCCATGAAACGCGTCCAGGACCTTGCTCCGACCCCCACAGAGCTGGATAGGCGGGGCGCCACACGCGCGGAACGAACGGGTGAGGTGAAAAACCTGAAAGGATGGGATTTAAACAAGAAACAATTGGGATTTTAACATATTTTAGCAACAAAAAAATTGGGATCGAAACACCAACATTTGGAGTGAAAACAACAAAACTTGTGGTTTGCCAACAAAAACATGTTGTTTCCGGAGACATATTAGTGTATTTAAGCAACACAAACGGTGGAGCGACATATGGTGATAAAACCAGCAAACATCTCATCAAACATGGGGATATATCGAGCAAAAAAGGGGAATTGAACTGCTTGTATTCTCGAGGATATTTCATACCTGGCAGTGGACAATTTCCTTTTCTCAGATCAGAACATCATTTGCAAAAGTGAGATGACATATCCTCTGGTTATTTTTATCATGGCCAACTTGAAGATCCACTAATCCACTATAAATGGATGTTTTTTTTATTGGCCAATCAACCATATATTGGTGATTTTCCATTGCTATGTTTGATTGCTGGAGGGTAGTTGCCCATTGCGCCTGTCCATGTCTGTGCGCAAAACATAGAGGTGGATCCCTCTTAGGGAATATAGCGACCATTGAAAGGAATCCTATGATTATGGCACCAGTGAGTGTAGTATTGTGAACTGTTTACATGAAGACACGTGAAACGATGAACCATCAAACTGATCCATTTTCATGGTCCATTTGCCTCAGAAACTCAATATCCACCATTTTTGTTGGACGCATCGATCTGGTTTTGTTTCTCCGAACGAGTGGCTCTTACCATCCCAAAGTCTAGGAATTCAGATATTTTGAGAAAACATATCTCTCTGGCAGTCTCAACTATTTCGAACGCGGCCTGACTCAACCTGGAATAATGAAACCCAATTTGACATTTTGGAGTCAACTCCCTATTTTGGCTGGTGAAATCGTAGTTTTGCAGTGGTGTGCCTTCGATAAATGACAATCTTGAATTATCGTGATAGGAAGACTATATGATTGTACTATTTATGGACAACTATAGTTATATATCTTGATAGGATACTTACGAATTTTTTGGGTATGTCCCTTTTGTTCTGATACTTTCTGCAGGTTAAAGCCTGATTTTCCACGTGGATTGTGGTCGATTCCCTTATTATACAATCCCTTCTCCCTGATAATATGAAGACCCACCCAAACGACCCCCTGGTTTAGTATTGGATAATGATATAAATGAATATAAATGAGACAAATTCATTTCTCCGGCCGAACAATTGGAGGTATTAGGTATTTACTTTTATATTGGATCTCTATCCCCATCTCATGATGGGAACACCATATCAAATTCCAAATTTGATGGTCAGCCAGCCTATTGATTCCTATGAACTATGATATCTCATAATGGGTTTTTCCATGTTAAATGCCTTTTTTACATATGTTCACTAGGCAGAATCCCCATGAATATCAGGGGTATGGGATTCTTGCAGGGTTTTTGCACCAGGCCCATGGCACCCTCAAGTCCGAGCAAGTCGAAACAGCTCGGGAGCTGGAGCCGCTGGGGTGTGTGTGCCAAGCGAAGTGATGATTTCAACAGCAAATTGATACTTACCATCTGGTTATTTAACGTAGCCATGGAAAATCCACCCATTTTTAATAGGTAAACCATCTATAAATGGGCCATTTTCCATGGCTATGTTAAATAACCAGATGGTAAGTATACTTTAGTCACTTAAATCCAAAATTGAATCCCATTAAGTCCCCATTTTCTTGGATCGATGACATTTTTCCCCCATTCATATTTAACAGCCCTCAGAAACCCATGGTTTACCAGGAGAATGGGATCAATCATAGCGATTCTACCTTAAAACACAACAATTTTACCGCAAAAAACCAAGGATTATAGAGTGTACCACCAAAAAAAAACAACAAATGAAAGCTGGGATTCAAGCGTTAAATACATGGAGTTAGCCATTTAAACCTGGATGAGGATGTGTGCTTGATATATTCTAACATAAGATTACAGTTCTGTGCAGTTTTCATGGAGCGGATAATGATAAACTATTCTTTGGGTGGTATCTTATTCAGTCAGACCCATAGATTCGAGCCTTCTTGTTGCAGGGCAAGAGCCACAGAACATTTCATAAAAATATATAGATACATTATGCTACATTATCATATAGCTATACATTCACCCCCCTAGAGATCTACCATGCTTAGTCTTCTCACGATGGTTTTTGGTTAAACAGATGCCATTTCGAAGGCTGGTTGCTACACACAGACATGCTTGATCATGGTTGCATAATATATATATATACGTATAGTATATATATATATATAACAATATAGACCACATATAATATAGTAATATATATATAATGATATATATAATATTATGATATAATATAAAATAATATAATATAATATAATATATAATATAGTATATAATATATAATATATAATATATAATATATAATATAATATATAATATAATATATAATATAATATATAATATAATATAATATATAATATAATATAATATAATATAATATAATATATAATAGAGTATAATATAATATAATAGAGTATAATATAATATAATATAGTATAATATAATATAATATATTATAATATAATATAATATACTATAATAGAGTATAATATAATATAATATAATAGAGTAATATAATATAAAATATAATATAAAATATAATAGAGTATAATATAATATAATATAGTATAATATAATATAATACAATATAATAAAATATAACATAGTATAATATAATATAATATAGTATAATATAATAGATTATAATATAATATAATATGATATGATATAATATAGTATAATACAATAATTTATAATATAATATAATATAACATAATATAATATAATATAATATAATAGAGTATAATATAATATAAATATAATATAATATCATATCATATAATATAATGTAAATATAAATATAAATATAACTATAAATATAAATATAATATGATATAATATGTATATACAGCACAACCCAAATAGATGCCGAAGAGTCGGACACCTTGAAAAATAGCCTTGATTGGTTATTGGGAGTTGTACTACCTGTATTAGGGATTGTGATAAACCAAGTAAGGAAACCATCAACCAACTGTTGCTTGTTGGTTGATCCCACTTATCGAAAGTCGGTTAGATCCCTGGTTCTTTCAGTGGGATACGGGATACGTATAGGGTTAATCCACTAACCAGGGACATAACCCACTTTCGATTCGTGGGATGAAGCACCAAGTCATGAGATGGGATGGTCCCCTGCCCTGCAGCAGAAGCACTAGGCCATCTCTACGACACTCGTCCTCCTGGTCTCCGCCCAAGCACGCATCCCCAGGGGAAATCCATGGAGGTTTTCCCCCAAAAACGCGATTTTTCCCTGTGAAAAATGGGGACGTCTCAACAAAAATGGGTGTCATGCCATAGCCACTGTGATTCGGCCACGAATACACAGGGATTTTGCTGATGGATATGGTTGTGGCTGAAAACGGGGGAGGCCCCCGAGTTCAAGGCCTCAAATGATAGTAATAATGATCATTAATCAATGGATTTGCTGTAGGTTTTTGTCCCAAAAGTTTCGCCCCCAAAAGTCACCAGAATTAGCTTGGAAGATGGCCCAACAATAGAGATGATGTTCCCAGCGTGGCAAATTTCAGGGCTCCACGTAGTGAATTTTGCTGCATCAGCACCACCTTTGGGCAGCTTTTGTGTGGGTGAAACTGACTTTCTACAAACTTCTCCGCTTCGTCGGTAGGGCTAACGTACGTTCGACTGATCAAGTTCTTGTAGGGAACTTTAGTTGATGAAAAACGAAACCCCGGAAGTCGTGGCCCCGGATTTCTTGTTGCGTATTTTTCCGGTGTTTCTTCGTTGTTTCAGTTGGTGATTTCCCGCAGCTTTTGGCCAGGCAGAAATCCAACCCCCCAAGCCCATCGAGGAGAAGTGCGAGTCGCAGGGGTCGACCGGGCTGTTTGGAGTATCTAACGATCCGATTGTGGGGGGAGCATCATTTTGACCCATACTCAGGTTGGTAGTCAAAATACTTAAACAAGAAAGATATAGAAACATATGCCTTTCTGCCGATTTTTCACATTTTTGTTGATTTGTGTTTCGATTTCATGGTCTACAATACCAGCAATGAAGCTGACCATTTTGCTTTTTGAATGCCACAGGAATCGGAGCGATCTGGTTCAAACATGTTCAAACCAGACATGGCCGTTCAGGTGTCTCACTTTCACAGAAGTCTCGTGAAGCCATGATTCAGTGACCGCCCCTGCTGATGCTGGAAGATGTTGTGCGGCAGGAAAGCGTGGAAGACAGTTGCCTGGTGCTGGTGAGGGAGCAGATTGTGAAGAAGATTGAAGAAGCTCTGAAAGAGGCCTTGGAGGCACTACAGCAGAATCCGCTGAAGAACTTCAAGGGCTGCATTCTTTCTGGTTCTTTGGCCAAAGGAACTGCCATCAAAGTGGAGTTTGATATTGACATTGTGGCATTCTTCCGACAAGGGTCTCATACAGCCAAGGACAGAGTCAATCATTTTACAAACCAACTCCAAAAATGTGTGCAACTCTGGAAAAGGCAACGGCTTGTTGCAAGCTCAGAGGTCTTGAGAAATACAGCCAAGGGGGTGAAACTCTATTGGCTGCATGCTGGCACCGTCCAGCCTGTGGACCTTATTGTAGCCTTGGAACCAGCCCCAGCCTCCAGTGGCCGTCTCTTATCATCTTCCAACACCTTCGTTTTTGGCCCAACCATCCAGGATGAGTGTTCCAGATTCATCAGCAGGCAACCTCAAGTAGTGAAGGACTGCATTAAGCTCATGAAGCTGTATGCCGTGTATGAGCAGCAGATGAACAACAACATTTCCCCTGGAGGGCACCAATTCCGTTTCCCCCCTGGGTGTGCTCTGGAAATAATGGCTGTGTGGCTGTACAATCAAAGACCGACTTCAAGCCTTCAGGAGTTGTTTGCTTCTTTCTTGGAATTTGGAAGCAGTTTGGATCTGACAAGAAGGAGAGAGATTTCAGTAAACACTGATCTTGACTTCTGCAGCTCGACTGCGACAGGTGAAGACAGTCTCGATGGTCCAATCACCATAGAACATCCTGTGCCAGTTCAAGTTTTGCAACCCTTCACAAGGCAAAATCTAACTCACAAACTTGATGCTGACCATTGGAAGTATTTCAGAGAAGCTTGCATCCGAGCGCAAAACCAGTTCTCTGGTTTGGCGAACCTTTTGCGACTCTCAACCTGCTTGGAGTCCCAAACATTTCAAGACTGTGACAGCTGGCTCGCCTCGTTTCAGTCAAGCATGCGTGAAATCCCACCAATGTTTGCAGCAAATACAGTCACAAGTTTGCCACCTGATGCAATTGATGATCGGCGTCGTCCCTCACATTGGGGGTCGCTGGCTTCTTATCTGCACGTTCCTCTTCTGTGGGCAGCTGAACAAGAAATTTTGGGCAAAGGTTTTACCCGAGATTCAGCTCACAGAGACGCTTCGCATCATTTCTGGAAGTCTGCAACTGAGTATTGGTTTCTGGAGGAGTTAACCCTGACAGATGGCAAACTAAGGGTTTCCAAACTCAGTATCACAGGTCCATCCGCTACCTCAGTGGAAGCAGCATACAAGATGCTGGTTTACGAAGCGCACCAACGTTGCAAAGCTGCAGGTTTTTATCCAGTCCGTCCAAACATCGCACGGGCAGTGGCTCTCCTGTTTCATGAAGTCGTGTGGAATGAAGTCCGTGAGAAGAACAACGCCATGCATGTGCAGTTGCAAGATCCCCGCAACCTTGTTCGGAAGAAAGAACTTGAATCCCAGCGGCTTGACGAAGTGATGGCACGCTTTGGCGTGCAACTTGAAATGCACGAAGCACCCATGAGAAAAGGAAGACTTTGGCAGGGCGAAGCAGCCAAACTCCATCGCATGTGCCAGGCTGTGGCAACCTTTGTGGACGTGTCCAATGATGCTGTACTTACAGTGGTTGGCCCTTGCACATTTTCGTCCCAGGGGGCTAAGAATTGGGCCTTTTGTTGGATGCTCGAGGCATTGTTCGAAGTTGGTCAAGCATCAATCCCTGATGCCGTTCTTGATCGGATGGGACTGGCCAAAGATGATCCAACGATTGTGGCAATGCCCAATAATTTGCCGCAGTGGTGCAGAAAGTCTTCAATTCCAGACCTGCCTTTGGAAGCTCTTTGATCCTCTTTGATCCTTCACTGGCATATGTCCTCCGGTCCAATGAATGGCGTCGGTGGCGAGTTGCCATGGATGTTTTCCATATGTTCCATGTGTTTGTCCTTTGTGTTGGCAGAGAGCATTGGTTGTGCACATGCAATTGTCTAGAAATTCGTAAGTCCATACATCCGCGTCGATCCGCCTGTAGGTGTGGGGCTACGGCAACATGTACATATTTCGGTGGGAAAATGTGGCCATGTGGCCTGCACTATGGTCAAAAGATCAAAGGCTAAAGGTGAAACTCGATCTGCCAATGGAACATTCCCAGTAACATTCCCCCTTTATCGATGGAGCTTCATGGATACCCATGAATTTTCCATAAATTTTTCCCATGGATTTCCCTATGCAGCGACCAAGGTGGCGGTAGCCAAAGTGGCAAAGCTTCAGGAAACGGCAGCCCGGCGCTTGGCCAATGAGAGGATTGGACTAATGATTTTTGTTATAGAAAAACAATGATCATCAAAGTTAGATTGGATTTCCAAGGCTGGATTTTTGGTTCCCAGGTAGGTAGGTAGATAGATAGATAGATAGACGGAGACAGATAGATAGACAGATAGACAGATAGACAGATAGACAGATAGACAGACAGACAGACAGACAGACAGATAGATAGATAGATAGATAAAGAAAGACAGACAGACAGACAGCCAGCCAGACAGACAGACAGACAGATAGATAGATAGATATGCAGCCCAGTAACAAAGAGATGTAATTGAGATGAATCAAAATCATTTGACCTAAACCAGTGGTCATCAGTGGTCCCAAACATGTGTTGTGCTCAACCGTGCTCGATCTCTATGACTGATGAAGAAAAACCAAATCTAGTTCCGTTTTGGGCGGATACGATCTGGCCCTGTTGGGTTCCCATCCAAAGGATCTAACATGTTGGCACCGTAGGGTTTGAACCTCAAAGATGATTCACCCTGACTGACCTACTGATTGATATGGGGTTAAGACGGCAGTGTCTTGGTTTCCAGTAGATGAAACACAACAAGAGACGGTTACTGAAGATGAAAATACACAGTGCACTCCATGGTTTGTCTGCAAATGATGGGCTCATTACTATAAACCATTATAAACACTCATAAACCCATATGGGTATGGATCAATACCTATTATATAATACCATTTTTAGTGGGATGAACATCCATTTACCAGCTATTTTGATGTTCACCAGGGGTACAAGGTTTTGACACACTGCCATATAAATTCAATGGTTGATCATCATCTATCATGTTCCCCATATTAGTTCCCCATGATGGCCGTTAATTTTTTGTTGGAGCTTAGGTAGCAGCAGCTTCAAACCGCAGTCGACGCCTGAGATCTGGCTGTATCCTTTATTAAGCGCTTCGTCCTATAGGAATTCTGAGCCCATCACCGGTTCGTCACTCAGTCCTCCTGTCACTGGCATGGACGAAGTGGATGAGATGTGGCGCTCATTGTCCCGACCCAAGTAAGTGGCCAACAAGATCCAAGGGGGTGATCCAAGGGTCATGGACAGCAGGAAAATTTCTATTATATAGAACATCCACCATTTGGGGAATCGAATAAGGGCATATGTTCTATTTTTATCTATTTTTGGGGACCCCGAAGCAAATCCAAGACCAAAAATGGGGAATTGAGGATGAAATCAACCTGATTTTTTTAAAAGTTCATCGAAAACGCCTGATTCTTGCTTGGGGCTCCCATCCTAGCTTCGAGTTGATGTTCATCAATAAACCCAGGCTCCATAGCTGTGGAACACCAATGATTGTTCATAGGATTGAATATAGTAGGTATGTAATCCAACAATATTGAACTCAATGGGCCATACATGGCCATACGGCCGTAGCTTCTATAGCCATGTAACAAATTACCTGGAGGGTATTGCAGAACAAAAAACATTGATGTTCCATCCACCATTCCAACGATCCTAGGCTGCAGCGTTTTCCACAGTACCCCCACTGGTGCCTAGTGAAGGCGACCTGGGAACCTGAACAGGGCGGAAATCAAACCAGGCAAAATATCGCGCTTGACTATGCTTAACTTATATAAGCAGAGTTAGATCAATTTTATGGGGAGTTCAATGAGATTCAACTACAATGGGAGACACATGGAATAAAACTCATCAACAATAGCATGATTTGGGGTGTGTCTGAAAAGGACGTATTACGCCAAAAACATGCGATGTTTTATAGGGAAAATGATAGTGGATTTTGTGGTACTTGAAATCTGTTGTAGTGTCAACGCCCGATTGATACACCCCTGGTTGATCAATTTGGAGGTTCCCCCCAAAAAGTGATGTTTTGCTACTTAAGCCGTACCCAATTCAGCAGCCGATGTTCAGGATGTTGAACCCGAAGAGGGGATCATAGCAACCTTCGATGCATATCTTGCAGTCTGCCAATCCGGGTCTCCAAGATACTGTACGGACAATCATTTATTGCGTGTAACTAACTGAATTTGCAATGTATGTACATTTATGATCATTTATGTACATCTTTAGTAGCAAGTAGAGCGGGCATACATATAAACTCTGCATACGCACTTCCACATTGTATCAAGAGCCACACACACACACACTGGAACATCTTCGTATACAAATCCAAGTGTTAACACTTAAAATTACTTAAACACATGCTTTTCTTTGCGGTTAATTAGACCATTTTCAGAGAAACCACAAGCAATAATATCCAATAATAAACTATACCCTCTGGTTATGACTAACATAGCCATGGTATAGATGGCCCATAGAAATAGATGGTTTACCTATTAATACCGTACTAGCAATGGGATGATTCTAAAAATAATGACCAAAAGGTCGTCGGTTACTGGGATGATGATGTTAAATCTATGGTGAAAAAATCACAATTTCTGATGGTTAGATTCGACCCCCCATCGTTGATCCATTTTTCCCACCATTGTTGATGGTTGAATCCCCAATGTATTGTTAACATATATATGTTTTTTTTGTGACTTCAGCCGGTGTGTGCCAGGAGAAACGCTGCGTCTATCGCATGGGCAGTGAGCTTCTCAGATGGTGACGCTGAAAATCCACGCGAAAGCAGTCTGTTGTCCCATTGAAGTCCTAAAACAATAAAGGAGATTCCTCAAACATCAGCCTTCAAACATGTTCGATGATTAAAAGACAAAAAAAAACAAACATCAAAAGCAGTTTGGGGAGATCAGCACTTCAGCGACTTCAAATAGACTTTGCATGAAAGAATCTGTTGAGAATTTGCCCACACCCGTCCATCTTCAAGGGTTTTTCAATGGTTGCAACAGCACCAGTCATAGCATCACGAAACATCCTATCCCTCCAACATGATCAACCAAGGGGGGAAACGTGTGAGAAGGTGGCCGCTATATGTATCCAATTTACCACCCAAACGTATTTGTGGTGTCCAGGGAGCAACCCTGTGACAATTATCAATTAATCCCGTTAATCATTCTACTAGTTATATATCATATATCCCATTATATCACATACACTATATATATATATATATACTGTATATCACCTTTTAGTTATATATACCATGAGTTTTAGATCAATATATTAAATGATCGTATATCCAACTTTATAGTTTTATATCCACACATACCCCATCAGCTATATATGTATATATATATATATCCTTACTGGTTGGTGGTTTGGAACATGAATTTTACTTTTCCCATCATATTGGCAATGTCATCATCCCAACTGACTTTCACTCCATCATTTTTCAGAGGGGTAGGTCAACCACCAACCAGTATATATCATATATATATATATATAATCCATTGGTTACATGAATACCCTCTGGTAAACTAACATAACTATGGAAAATCACCATTTTTAATGGGAAAATCCACTATTTCTATGGCATTTTCAATAACTATGTTAAATTACCAGAGGGTATCTCCGATGAGTTCCATGGGGCTTTCGTTGAGGCCAAAGTGGCAAGAAGGTGGTCTGCAGAGTCAGCCCTGGTGGCCTTCAGGCGGCGTTCTGAATCGCATTTCGCAGCAGGGTAGGTGCGTCTCATCCCAGCATGTCCAAGTGGTAAAAAGGAGCAAGTAGGGTACCCAAAAAGGTAAACACGTAAGTTTAAACTAGAAGATTTAACCGGTTGAATCAAGGTTTGCTGGAAAATCTCCGACATACCCTCTGGTTATGTCAAAATAGCTATTGAAAATGGCCATTTATTTCGTTGATTTGCCCATTAAAAATGGTGGTTTTCCATAGTTATGTTAGTTTACCAGAGGGTAACAAAATCCCACTTTTTTGGAATGTACAAGTGGTAAACAACTGGTGGAATCCCAACAACCCTGAAACAAATGAAACCCACTTAGATCACTTAGTATAACCCTGGTAATAAAAACATGAGCTAACTTTGCTAAGTAGGGGCAATGTCCACTTCGAACAGGGTGAAGTAAATTTTGTGAACTACTGTAACAAACATAGCTGTTGGATGAAGCACCAAGTTTAAACAAACACTGGGATTTTATGCTGATATGGGTATGGATCAATACCTATTAATACCATTTTTAGTGGGATGAACATCCATTTACCAGCTATTTTGATGTGAACTACAGGGGTACTATTGGTTTTGACACATCCCCATATTTATGATCATAACCCATGAAAGTTTACCTAGGATCCCATGAATTGACCATGGAATTTTACCCACCAATTGTTTTTTATGGGATGCAACCTGATAAACAACCAACACATTTGTTACCCATAGGATCCATGTATGGTACATATGCTAACATTGGGGGTATATTGATGGTAAATGTTACCATATATAGCATACATGGATCCTATGGGTTATGGAGATCTCACTTGATTTCAACAAAGAATTTGTTGCAACGCAACGAAAAACATGGCGGCTGTCCAACAATTTGTTGATGAAGCGTGAATCTAAATGTATGTGGGGATTAAATACGAACAGAACGGGTCACCATCAAGAATGTATGACAATCCAATAACCATGAAAAAAGACGTATTGAAACCAAAAAAATGGGGCTTTAACCAACAAACATGGATATTTACATGATCAACAAGACGATGAGTCGATTTCACAAGCGAACAAATGGATTCAACCAACCAAAGTTGAGATTTGCCCACGGAATTCGGAATATGGGATGTCATCCTTCCCATTGACGAACTCCATCATTTTTCAAGATGTTTTTTAACCACCAACCAGTCATTGAAACGAACCATCCAACCATCATTCAACCAACAACCAGCCATAGATCCACCGAAAAAAGAGGCCGTCCTGGCGGTTTGAACATCGGGGATGGGACCCACGTCCGGCAACTGATCGCTCCGACGACCAAGTCATGGCGATCCCCGAAGGAAAAACGTCGAACTTTGACTGGGAAAAATCGCCTTCAAGGAAGGTTTGGATGAGAAAATCTACCCTCTGGTAAACATACAAAAAACTATGGAAAATCACCATTTTTAATGGGAAAACTCACTATAAATGGCCATGTTCAATAGCTATGTTAAATTACCAGAGGGTACTATAAATCTACTAGAAATGTAGGTTCGTTTACGGAAACATCTAGAAATGGTGTATTTTCCAGCTTGCCATCGTTTGATTTTCCACACTGCCAGGTTCGCGTGGGCGGCGGTTGGATGGCGGCGCTTCCCTTTCTGGAGAGGTGCCCCTTTTTGTGACAGTGACAGTGGATTTTTAGATGGTCTAATGATGGGATAATGATAATATGGTGATAATAATGATAAGAATAATGGGATCATGATAGTATGATCTAATGACATCTAGCAATGGGATAAGGATCGTGTGTCAAATGATGAGACAATAGCTATTTTTGATCATTTGGTTGATGTTTGCAGTTTGCGAAGTGGTCACCATGAAATTCATGGGTCCCAATCAACGAACTAAAGGTGCCATGGCTTCCTTGTCGCTGGGAACATTGCCAGGGAAATTTAGGGCCCAGAATAAAAGTGCGATGATTTACATGTTAGACATGGTCATTTTTCCATAGCCATGTATCAAATTAATTACCGGAAGGCAAATCTCCGTGAAATCGCCATTTTCCTATACTAAATCACCATTCTAGAGTGTAAAATCAGCAGGTGTGTCTCAATTTTCGTTGGGGAAATCAACATCTAAGCTATCATATGGTTGAGAAAGTCAAAGGTGGAATAGGGAATATGGATAGCCTCACCTCCCTTCACCGCTCCCTCCATTCACCACTAGATACCCTCACCATTTTTAATGGGTAAATCCACTATAAATGGCCATGTTCAATAGCTATGTTAGTTTTCCAGAGGGTAGTACTCATCATCAACTAACCATCATTTATCATTACATATCATTACCCTTATAGTTTTCACAGTTGAAACATGTTGAAACACATGAAATCCCCATTAATTATAACCCTGTCCTTGCCGCAGGTATGGCCCCGTGCATATGGGCCCACGCTGTGGCGAAGATCCACAGTTTTTCCATTGCATCATGGCAGCCGTCAGATGGCGATGTGGTTTCCATGGTGAAACATTGGGAATTTTTGACCAGCCATCCTGGGGATATAGTGATATATATATATATTATAATATATATCCTGGTTGGTGGTTTGGAACATGAATTTTATGACTTTCCATATATTGGGAATGTCATCATCCCAGGTGACGAACTCATATTTTTCAGAGGGGTAGGTATACCACCAACCATATATATATATATATATATGTATCACTTGTTATGTAACCAACAATATGATAGTGGCTGTGGTACCTGAAAATGGAGATCCATCAAAGAAGGGCTGGAACATGCTGAGCAATGCCGGTTTAATGGTTTAATGATGATTTACTTGTCAAAGATAGGGGTTTAACTAGAGAAAAGGGGGATATAATGGGGATATATTGAATTTATAACCAGCTGTTCGTTAAATGAAGAAGAGGTTCCATATATTTTTCATACTTCTTATCTATTCCATCTATTCCATCTATTCCGTAAGCCTTTGGAAGCACCAAATCCCGAGGCACCAACGTGGATTTGCCCGCTTCCATGGAGCGGCTGCTAGTGCCTACAAAGAGCTGGGCGCAGAGGATTGGTATTCGAAAAACGTCCCTGGGCAGAGGAAATGATGGATGTGGCTTGATGGTTTATACATGGAATATGATGGGATAGATCATGGGATACTATAATACCTATAATGACATAGTGGTATAGTGACATAGTGGTATTTCATGTTTTAATGGTTTAAGGGATTACTTGGTATATTATATTAATTATGTGGATGGTACACTTATAATGCTTTTTCCATCAAACCTCCAAATATGGATGTTTATGCAATATTACATAATATATGTACAAGGTGCTGCCCCCTCAGTTTTAAGTTGATTTAAAACCATCAATTGTTGTAATTGACATAGTTATGTTTATGCGAATGGGAATATGTGCCACCAATTTCACCAATATACACATATTATGGATGTTTATTAAACTATGGGTGTTAAACCACGTCCATGTTGATGTGACATGTACAAATATGCAACAAATTCGATAGCGGTTTAAAAAGGGTGAATGGGGTTTATCCATCCCAGATGGTGGTTTAATGATAATATAAATGATAATTGAACATTGATATTATCATATATTATCATTCAACCGCCATATATTTACTGATAATGGGATATTTTTTTTGGTTTGTTTATAACTAACCAACCTACAAACAATCGAATGGCACAGTCGATGTGGGCGCCTCGACGTCTCGCCAATGCAGCTGTTGGTTTAAGGGAACAGAGGGAAAAAGTGGAGGAAACTATGGTTTGCCCCACTATTTACCCTCTGGTAATTTAACATAACGGAAAATCACAATTTTTCATGGGTAAATCCACTATGAATGGTGATTTTCAATGGCTATGTTAAATTACCACTAGTTATTGGGGTTTCTTGTGAAACTTCCCTTGATCTAGGCATGAAACATGGGAATTTAACCATGATTCGCAAGAGGTTTTAACATGTTTTAACCATGAAACATATGGGGATATAGTTGATGACATATAGTTTAATGTTTTCTTTGGTGGTTAACTATCAAATCTGAATTTTAAACAGTAAATATATGTAAATATGGGAATATCATAAACAATCATGATGATTGGTGGATGATTAGTGCGGGAAGTACACCACCGGATTATCATAACAATAGGTTTACTTTTCTTTTTTTGGGGTTGCCATGCACAAAGATACACATTGCACATTTTTTTGGACGTTCTCAGAAACGACGCTTTTGGCATGTTTACAAAAGTTCGTTGACAACAACTAAGGACATCTGATGCATTCCAACATGTTGTATAATGTTGCCTTCTACGGCACCTAATGTGGAAACCCTTAGACCCAAAACCATCTCCTATTTCACAAGCAGGCGGCTCGAGACCATCTAACAATGGAGAAGCACCACCGAATTAATCGGTAAATCATCCTCCAATGGGCCGTTTACCAGAGGGTAACAATGGACAATCGGCCATATATATATATATATGTTTTACAGATTTATAGAGATGATTAAATTATATACAAATAGATAATCAAGTAGATAATCAAATTATATATACCCTCTGGTTATTTAACATAGCCATGGAAAATGGCCCATTTGTAGATGGTTTACCTATTAAAAATGGTGATTTTCCATGGCTATGTTAAATAACCAGAGGGTAATTATATTAATCACATATGTTTTTCTCCTTCTTTTTTGGAGGTGAATCCCATGACAAACATATTTTTTTCCCACAAAAACTCCAAGGCCCGATCTACGGGAGCAGCGGCGTTTGCAGGAGCCCATGGAGGTGGCATCAAATATCATCTATACATGATATATTACTACATGATATAGTATGTAAATACATGATGATCATGATGTACATGATCCCTGACACACGCCAAAAATGCCGCCGCTGAGCAGGCACAAGCACGAAATGGCGCGAAACGAGCCAGACCACAAATGTAGTTCTGCTGCCCTGTTTTGCTGCTGTCCTCTTCTCTTGCTGTCCTACTGTCCTGCTGCCGTTTCCGGTTTTACTGTATTGACTTGGCTCCTAGCTTTTTGCTTTTTTGCTGCTGTTGGTTCTTATGTTGGTCCTGCTGTCGTGCTATGTTGCTCATTCCTATACTGCTCTTGTGCTCTTTTGCTGTCCTGTTCTCCTGCCTGTTCTGCTGTCCTGGTGTTTTGCTGTCTGCTGTCCTGCTGTCTTGCTGTATTTGGCTCTCCTGCTGTCCTAGTCTTGTTCTTGCTGTCCAGTCCTGCTGTCTTTTGTCCTGCTGTTCAGCACAGGCGCGGCAGAGCTGGTCGAGGTGTGCGCCCCCCAGCGCCACCGCCGCCACCAGCGGCGCCATGGCCGACTCCTGAGGGGTTTGGATGGTGAAACCCATGGGAAAAACGGTGATTTTCCATGGCTTTGTTGACTTGCGAAACGGGTTAAGGGGGTGAATGTGTGGTTTTATATGGCTTTACAATGTTTCATATATATACATATATATATATATATACACACACGCAAAAATGACTGCCTCTAGGGGGGTGCCTAACTCCACCCCAACAAATCGCTGTTTAGCGTGGTAAAATTGTCTTCCAGAGCCTGTGGCCTTTCTATGAGAGCAGCAGGAAACCCTGTGGTCATGTCCAAGAATTCGCTTCTGAAAGTTCGGAACACATGGTTCTTTGAGGTCTTCACATGTCAAAACCATGGTTTCCACCGTCATTTTCTTCCAATCCATTGATACAGACACGGCTGCTTCCCGGCCATGTCAGGCTCCGGGCCCCTACGCGGCTCCCGTGCCTGATCTTCCAGTTCCTCAGGCTAAGGACACAGGTTAAGTGCAATCGTTGCCGTGTTTTACCACGGTGGTGCAATGTTTACCATCTGGTTATGACTAAATATGACTCGCCATGGAAAGATCCACCATGCTATTAAGAACGGTAAAGCATCTATTTCGATTAGGGCCATCTTTTTTCCATGGCGCCATGTTTGTCATAACCAGAGGCTAAATCCTATGGATTTCAGACATCACGTGGCGCAGTTCTTGATGAGATGAACCAGTGCTCTGTGAAGATGTACCCGGCCTGGTAGGCTAAGAGTTTGCGAACTTGAACATGGCCATTTAGTTCGTTGGTTTACCCGTTTACCCATTAAAAATGGTGATTTTCCATGATTTTCCATAGTTAATTATGTTAGTATACCAGAGGGTATGGAATATTATGGAATGGCTGTCGATTAAGTTGGTGAGATAGCAGTTGCTGACTCAGTGACGGATTTGAGTTGGAGTTAAAGCAGTTTTGGAGAGTGTTAAATTATGTAAGCTCTTTTGCACTTTAAAAGGCAGGATACGTTCAAATCGTTTTAAAGTTAATGCTTATCCTTATCCAAATATATGCCAACTTAACTTCCTTGCTACTTTTCCAAAAGATCATCGACACACATGGAAACTAGTTTCATCCAAATAAGTGGCGATGTTTTTCCAAAGAACCCCACGATGGAGGCGATGGAGGCGATGCCTGAGACAGAGAAGCAGGTCGGCCGGTGGGCATTGGCCAACCATTCTGGGTAGTTTGGGTTTATCTGGATGGGATTGGGATGGATGAATGGGGAATCATCAGAATCATCCAAACGGCCTGAAACGTTTCAGGTTGGTGAAGGATTGTGAAATCTATCCCGAGAAAACATGGCAGTTTTCGGGGTGAAAGTTGGAAGCCGACTTTGGATGAAAGACACTGTTGAGAATCAATGCAGAAAATCTGTGTGTGATGTGTCGTTTGGGACTGGCAACAAAGGCAAAGCATTCGAAAAAACTCAATTTGTTTATAGCTCAATCACATGTAGTTCATTATTTTATGCAGTTGAGATCGAATTGTCATGAATTGTCTGCATGAGTTCCATCCTTTGGATGGAATTCATCACCTTTTCCCAAAGATTTTACTGACCGAGTTCCATTGGATCAGGTGCTACAACCTTTGGTGCTCGGATCTTGGACACGAAAAAAAAGCCCGAGCTTGGAGATGTGCAAAAATGCCAGGTTTTTTTTCTTCGTTTTTTCCGTAGAAAAACCATGGCTGTGAAAATACTACACTGGTCATTCATGACTTGAATGATTTATTTGGGGTAGCCCTATTTTGTCGGAAACCCCTATTTTATGTATAAATTCAAACAAATTTTTGTATCTTTCTTCAACACCACACTTTTTGGGCGGTAACAGTCTGGACAACTCCCATCCAGTGGAGATCATCCAATTTTGGGGCTTTGAAAGTTGGGGCTTCCACTAGCTAAACGTCGAGATGCTGACACATCAAGGCCCATATTTCAGAGTCTGTACTTCCCAAAGGGTCGATTTGTGCATGTTGTTTACCCTCTGGTAAACTAACATAACAATGAAAAATCACCAGTTTTAATGGGAAAACTCACTATAAATGGCAATTTTCAATAGCTATGTTAGTTTACCAGAGGGTATAGCAAAGAATAAGCACTGTACCATACTGTAGCCATGAAGTCACGGCAGTACGAAGACGGCATCTCTCTCCAGAGATGCCGAAAAAACATGTCGAGGCCTTGGCCCGGGGACAAGAGGTGCCCGTTGCAGCCGTTGCAGCTTCTTTTCGCTTCAGCGAAGTCAGGAATCATTCCCCCAAGATAGATCAAGATAGGCAAAACATCGACGAAAATTTCCCACCCATGTAATGATGCACTTGGATTTGGGTTTTATTCATATCATTCCCCCTCAAAAAAAACAAAAGTTTGTCCTCCCTGTGATGCTGGTTGCCTTGCCATAGTCACTATAGTCCTTGCCAAGGCCTCATGAGTCCAATAAGTTGCCAATTGGTAGCTGAAGCTGTGTTTTTAGGGTACACAGCCTGAGATGTTCAGGGGGATATGGCATCATTTCCATTTGATCAAACTACCATAGCTTTGGAATATGACCATTTTCATTGTGCGTTTACATGCATTTACCTGCTATAGAAACAGGGTAAAGTTCCATAGCTATGGTAGTTTACCATTCAGGGTACCATGCATTTACTCACATTTAAAACCAATCTCCACTGGTCAATTGATCAATTTACCCTCTGGTAAACTAACATAGCTATTGAAAATTGTCATTTATAGTGGATTTACCCATTAAAGAGGTGATTTTCCATAGCTATGTTAAATCACCAGAGGGTAACAATTATGATGTATAGTAAGTATAGTGCTACCAATGTGCTACGATAATGTGAGGTGAATATAGAAAAAGCCACCAATCAGATCTCAGATTGTGCAAACAATGTGTGGTAAATCATGGTAAAGCTAACAACATTTACGGTATTCCGGTATTGCTAAACCATGAATCTTCATTGATATCCCTTCTTTAAGTAATATAAATCCTTTTAAATCCATATTAAACTACCATTAAACCATCATTTTCCATATTTTTCCATCTGTTTCCTGGCTGAGAAACACCATGCTGGAGGAACACCACGGCCCACCATCCACGCTGTGAGCCTGGCATGTGACCGGCCGATGACCCGATATGACCGGCATGGAATTGGGAGTATCTATCTGATAAATTATAGAGATGATAGAGATGTGCAAATAGTATTTTATAGTAAATCAAATATTTGAGATTTTCAATATCTAGTCATATTCACAGCGTTTTCGTATAGATAATATTAAATCTGATATTCATGTATGTTTTAACTTAACATTTTAGCATAGTTATTCAATGTCGGAATAATATGTTGTACATGAGCGAAAGGAAAGCAACTTAGAGATGTGAAATTTCGAGATGTACTCCAAACAATTTGACAATCGCCTATTTTGCAGCATCTAGATCTAGATGGTAGATGACATGCACCAAATTCGCAAAATGCAAAGGTCCCCCGTGCTCTCATTCAATGGCACCGCTTGTCGTGTTGTTTGGTTTTGGATGGAGTGGTGATTTTTCCTCGGAGCTTTGGAGGATGTCTTTGCAGCGACACAATTCAGATCTCTGCATCGTTGAAAAAAGGCCGCCACGACACGACGTGCGACACGACGAAAGAATGCCATGGGTGTTTGGCGGCGCAACCAGCAGTAAACTCCTAGAAGCCCTGGCCTGAAAGCTGTTGCAGACATGCCCTGGGTTTGTTGAAGGTGATTTGGCTTATCCCAGTAGAACATCCACCAAGTGGGACTCCTTAAGCAAATCCAAGATGCTGAAAATGATCTTTGTTGGGGTGTTCAGAAAGTAAGCTTTAGGGCCTAGACTTTAGGGGTCGTTCCAAAGTTTCTTTGGTGCTATCCTATAGGATCCTATAGGTAACTTAGCAAGGACAACACAAATTGAGCAGCATCAAAACATGTATGCAGTGACTTTGTCATAGCTTGTTGTAAGGCACCTTTGGGGAAAGTTGAAACCATTCTCGTGAAATGCCCCCAAAGCTACAGCGAAAGTGACAAATGACGGCTATGACGGCTATGACGGCTATGGTGAAGGAATGTTCATCTATACAACAAGGCATGCAAAGTTCTGCAAAAGCGTTTTTCGTACTAATTTGTTCTGCAAAAACTGCCACCAGAGTGAGCATATTGAGGCAAACGCTTTGTGAGCACTCTGCGCGAAAGCAGCACGAAAGCAATGGCGCCGTATAATTTGTAATGTATTTTTGACGCCGCTCATTTCGCACTTACTGATAGCTTGCACACGTTGAACAAGCAGGAGTAGCAACACTTTTTCTGACCATGTTGGTGGCAGGGCGACACAAGAAAGCGGAGGCATTTGGATGCACAATGATGCAACCTTTTGCGAAAAAACTGCAACTGCCTTGCCGTGATTCTTTTAATGAAACGGATTTTGCGCAAAGTTGGACTTGTCAATGAAACATATTGCTGACTTTGCTCTGCACCGTTCGTCAACGCCCAATAAACGACGTCAAGTTGAATCGAGATTGCGTTGAAATTGCGACCCTTTGCGTTCACATTGCGTTCAGACATCGTTCAAATTCCATTGCACGCCCCTTCAGGCACGATCTCTGTCAAAAAAGCGTTCACCTGGCCATGGGTTCAGAAATGGTTCAATAACATGAAATAACCTTTTGGGGCCTCAGAAATTGTTTCACAACATGTTCAATATATCACATGATTTCGCCATGGCATCGACCACAAAAATCGCACATTTTTCCGTTACGATCTCTGGAAACTTTCGGATCACCTGGTGCGATCGCGAGTCGACAAACTTCGTCAACCAATGACTAAACCAAGCTTCGGACGTGCTGCAACGATGCAAAAGTGGCGATGCTTTCTACTCGACTTTCAATACCTTTATCGAGACGAACGCCTCTAAGACTTGCAAGGTATACGAACGCATTCGGGGGCATATTCCAACATATTCCAACTAATTACATTTGTTCAGAAGCGCAGAAACTCCATTTTTTGTTACAACCTTCATCCTGACTGCCACCCTCGTCACTAGGCGATCAACTTGGGGCCAAGCTTTGTCATGTGGCCCGTGAGCTGTTCAAACATGTGAAGATTTGAAAAGGCCATGAACATCAACACCAGTACCCATAGGATCCATGTATGGTATATATGGTAACATTTACCATCAATATACCCCCAATGTTAGTATATATACCATACATGGATCCTATGGGGTATACACGAATCATCAACATCTAAGACTCTAAGAATACGGATTTCGAGGAGTCCAAGCGACAAAAATCACCACAACATACCACAAGAAAATGCGATTCCCCGGGCCAGGGCCCTCTCATCCATCAAGAGATGTCAGATACTGTCAGAATCTCCACCAAAAGTCGGACAGTGTCAGACACGACACGTACAACTGTGGGAAAAACGGGAACCAGCAAGTTTTTTGCGGCCTCTGAAAAATGCAGTCCGGTATGTAGCTGAAAACTTGTGGCCGGGAACTGCACACACATGCAAGGGCCACAAACGCACAAGAACTGCAAACTTCCCCAAGGAACGGAAAACTGCCTAAGGGCACCAGAACCCAACCTACTGTTGAGATTCTGGAAGGTGCTTGGTTCTAACCAGCATCAATTGGCCGGCCAGAATCCGCCAGGCATTGCTTAATACTGCTCAGTATAGAAATTAAATTCCTAGCCCTGAATAGAGAGAACACGGAGTGTTACAACACAGTGGCAAATTATCGGGGTTCAAATAAAGCTGTGCCGTGTGACGACCGCGCGTGCCAAAGAGGGATTACTACGGGGAAGCATTGCAGGAGGATTTGCATAACAGGGGATATTACCGCGATGACGCATCTCGGAAGGAATCGCGTGAAGTACCATGTAGTTTTACGTATTTGGGGCTCCACAGGAAAATGTCACAATACCCTGATACCATACCTAGAACCTCGAAAGCATGCAAAAATGTTGCCCTTTTAGAAGAACATTCTTTTTTGAGAGCAACATTTGTTTGAAACGGCACTTTTTCTGACTGCAAACACTTTTCAAATTTCAGATGGTTGAACTGATTTTTCAGAAATTGATATTTTAGATGGGTTTTATTGCTCCAACTGACCTTCTTGGCTCCAGAGGGTGCTACTTGATCCCATTTGCGCCCTTTTAGGTTGCATGGTATTGTCAATATCTAGTTTTTGAATGTTTTTAATTGGTTGGGTGCCAAACATAATTGTGCGCGGAACCTTCCAGCATTCTTAATGCACCAAATGTTTCATAAATGCAATATTGAACAATATAAAACACGTTTTTGCCCGGCGATATATATTTTTCCCATTGAAAACGCAGTTTTCACGTCGACACGCCTTTTTTTCAGCTAATCTTTTCTTAGGAGGGCCCCTGCAGGGCCAACAACATGATGTCATAATTTTCATGTCAAATGACAATGTGTTTTCTTTTATTTTTATTTTGGCAAACTAAATGCAAACCCCAAAACCACAACCTCAAAAATTTGGTAGTCATTGAATTCGCAAAAGGAAAAAACATCTCTTTAAGCGAAGGTGCCTGCTGGCAACTGCTGGATCTTCAGCCGAATTTGCATATTTTTTTTCCTGCATGGATTTGGATTACAGAGGCCGGGGTACATTCCGCTATAGGAATTGCGTTTGTTAGTTTCTTTCTAAGTCCTGCAGGCTTGTAAGTCTCCGGATTTAAATGCGCTCTGTAGGTGGTCTCAACTAAGGCAGCTCGCCCGGTTTAGACTGGCCAGGCTATACCATACTTAGTACATTTGTTGGCACTACGCTACGCTGGCCGAAAAAGGCCATAGCAGGGCTAACAGCTGGCCCTCCCAGAATGTCAAAACACAGGACCGCAGGCGCAAATCTCACAAATTTCAACACTCCCTTCCCCGCAACGCTCCTCCCCAAAACGTTCGATTTGAAAATTAAAGGGCTTAGTTACGGTATGTTACGGTTTATTGCCATGGCAGTCCAACTGGTTTGAACATGTGGAAAAATTATGAAACATAATGAAACCCCTTATTGTCACCATTGCATTTTTGCTTTGTAATGCATGATGGGCGTTACTGATCTTTTGGGACTGCAATTTTACGTGAGAATTTGCAAGAGAAATGCTGCGCCCCAAAGTCGCGGCGCAAACTTTGTGCGAGCCTGCGCGGTCGAAATGCAATTAAGCATGTCACAGGAACAATTTGACGTGAGAATTTGCACGAAAAAACCTGGAACCAGATGGAACACCCTGATACCGCACCGGCCTTTTTACCTACCGTAAGAACCCTTCAGCGTGGACGCGCTGTTTAGGGGAAAATGCCACGCCCCAAGGCCATGAGAAAAATGCACTTGGACACCTCAGACCACTTTTTTTCTTGCGAAACGATGAGAAAAATGTCGCGCCCCAAGGCTATGAGAAGACCACGGCCCGGACTTCCTGCGAGCCGGCGCAGTTGAAATATGTTGAAATGCATTTAAAGTTCTACTGCTCACATGAAAATTAATGCCTAGTGAGTAGCCGGATTATGATATGGGGGTTCACGGCTCATTTCTGATACCTAAGATCAACGGCTTCGTTGCCTACCGCGCGGTTACATTGATGTGTGCACCAATAACGCATATCAATAAGTATTGTTTATATGGGACAGGTATTGCCAGACCCCTCGGGCTGCAAAGGTGAGGTTGAGCGCTTCAAAGCACTTGAGACTCATATTGAGACTCGTATTGGGTTAAACTAAGCGAGCCATGAATTGGTCGGTAGGATATGTGTATTTGGAGGTTCGTCAGTGAAGGGTTTGTGTGCGCAGCTATGGTCCCAAAATGAGTGCTGACCAGGTAGTACCACTCTGTTTTATTTTGTTTTGGCATCAATGCCCCTCCCAACACCCCCGAAGATATGAATGTTAGAAAAAAATGGGCAGCATTAGTAGTTGGCGGGTTGTAGCCCCAAGGATCAGGACCAGTGCATTTGGAACCGCATCGGTGGAGAGGGTTTGTGCGCGCACTGGTGGTCTCATAACGAGTGCGCCGCAGGTCGTGCCACTTCGCTTTGGTATCACAACTGCACTTCAGAGCAGTTCTTTTTTCAAAATTGTGGAAGGTGGGCGTACTGAGCATTCCTAAAGTGATGTGCGATCCCGAAA